AAGAAGCTTTCAAAACTGCTGTTGCAATTTTATATTATCCCAAAATTCTGATGATGGTGATGCCTTTCAAATTCATTATTAAGCCTCAAACGGAATTTTTATCCAAATTATAAATTATATTTGCAAAATTATGTAAAGGGTTTCTCTCTCTTTTATTTAATTCTTGCAGTCACGCATATTCCCTCAAGCCTTCTGTTAAATACCCCTGTGCAGAGATTCCTATACCCCATAACTAAAAGATGAGTTTTTTTTTTTTAATTTTTTTTTAATGTTGATTAAGTATAAATCCAAGAGGCCTTGGAAAGCTTTGGAAAAAGTTACATCAACATGATTAGCTTGTTTCATATCATGTTATTTGATTAATATTAGTTTAATAGTAAAATTCTAAAAATTAAAAGCATCAATCCAAGTGGGAGTAAAAGAAAAGGAGGCGGATCGAGAGGAACGAACTATACAATCTTGCTACCTGGCTTACACATCTCATTCCTGCATTTTGGGGGGAAAACAGAAGAAAAAGAAAAGCCCCTGATTTCTATATATCTACTCTTCCATGAATGGCTAACAATGTGAAAAAATAAGTTAATGGAAGTAAAATAATCATTGCTGAAAAAATGGGATTATAAAAAGAAGGGTTATTAAACCCTTTCATTGCCCAAGTACGAATCCTAAGCTGTCAGCTAGCAAGAAATAATGGTGAGTAGTTGTTGGTTTCCATGGGTTGGACAAAGACATCATCAGCACCATGGGCTGGGACGTTTTAGGCAGGGTGGCTGTGCTTGGTAGTCAGCATCCAGATGACTGAATGAATCACTTGCAAATCATGTGATGAATCCCTTGCAAATCATGTGATGAATCCCTTGCATACTTTTGGATTTGATCCATTCCTTTGAAAGATTGGACAGTATTCCAATGCACGCTATCTTAATGATACATTTTTTCTAAAAAAAAAAGCAGCAAATGCTGACTCTGAATTAATTAAGGTAACTAAGAATTCAAACCATTATTGAAAAACAGATATGATCAACTGAGCATGGTCTAAAAATTATGAAACCGGTTTCAAAACTAGATAAATCAGTAAACCAGCACTCGCTATTGAACAGCCGCCCATACACACCAACGCTCTGACCATCACGAGCATATATGGATATTCAATTTTCACGTCCAATTTCTACAAACAACCAGCTGGAAAACAACTTAGCTAAGATAATAAAATAAGTATATGCAATCTGATCAAATGGATAATGCTGAAGAAACCCAAGGATGCAATGGGCTTTGTAACTGAAACAATTAGCCCAGACAATCACTTGATGAAAGCTTTCCACCTTATGGCATAAACAAAAAGTTCTATATTCTAATTGGATTAATGTTCTGCCGACATATCTTATCACATTTATGAAAACTCAATAAAAATATGACAAACTCCTACTGACCACCTAAGTCTACAACATCATGGACCCCAAAAAATAATCATTCAACAATGAATTGTCCTAATTATGAGGAGCGGGCAACAATAATCCAGTTTCTCCATATAAGCCGGCTAGAACTCATATCTGCACGGAAATCACAAGACTCTAAAATCTTGCTGGTCCTACTTATTTCTCTCTCTCTCTCTCTCTCTCTCTCTCTCTCTCTCTCTCTCTCTCTCCAGTTAGTATGACAATACGATTGATGTACCAATATTGGATACGCAAAATTTAGAAGATTTGACATCAGCTCTCATTGATGATGATACTTGCAAACTCAATCAAAGAGAAAAATTCACAGTAGAGACTGTAGGAAGTAAAGACGGAATAGAAGCATAAGCTTCTCTAATATTCACTAATTAAATCAAAGGTCAGATGGCTATTGTCACAGCTTGTCACCCCAAATCATATTTACCGGTGTGAGCACCATGTTTCATTGAATAAAATACAGTCCCCTAACAGCATAGATGACTTTCTTAGGAATGCATTTATTTCTGATAGAAGGTTGATATCGTTACTTTTGACCAAATGGTCATGTCTCTAAATTCAACTGATTTTTTTTCCTCATGTGCTAAATTTCATCAACTGCCTAAAATTCGAAGCCACAAGGCATATCAGCCAAGTTAATATGAGACCATATCAAGGACTTTCTCTCTCCACATAGATTTGCAAGTAATATCAAAGATAAATTTAAAACTAATGAATGTTGCAGCGGCATCAATTATAACCCTTCTAATCTTTTAAGATTCCACTAGGTGGCAGTGCCCCAGTGTCAAAAACCTTAACATTCTACATTCCAATCTTACAATTTGATATTAATTCGTTAAACCAGTTGGTTCAAATCTTAGGCAAGATATATGTACATTATATATATATATATGTATGTATGTATGTATCAAACTGACTTATCTTATTTATGAACTAGAAAGGTCACATATTTTTCTAAAGAAAACCATCAATAAATTGGTCATCACAAGGGTCATTATAGTTAAAATTAACAAAATAAACTAGCATTTATCTTCTCTTTTAAATTTGTTTTAACAGTTTACATTCTTAAGACTTTTCTAATGAGAGAAAAGTCTTAAAAAATCTTTATTAGTTAGTTTGGCTATTTTCAAAAATTTATTAAGTTACAAGTATTGGGTCATATATATATATATATATATTAGGATCTTTTAAATGTTCAATATTTCAAGGGGAAGTTTTTTATTACAATATATACATACATACAAACATATATATATATATATATATAATTTCGAGTGCTTATAAATGTGGTCAATGGCCATTGGACGTATAAAAAATTGACTTTCTAAAGCATTTTGTTTTCTAATATTTATATATGATATTTATAGTGGAGTTTAAAGTTTTATTCTCAATTAAAAAAAAAAAAAAGATTTCAGCAGGACTAACATTCCAATTTCACAATATTTCATCAATATCTTTGGTATGCATATTCAATTGCTCTCAGTTAAGGTCCAGGTCTGCATAACTTTATAAAGGTCATTTACAGTGGTTCACTTTACTTTAAACATGGGGAGATCAAAAGGGAAGTACTGAAACATTAGATTAGAAAGTTGATAGAAGTAAAAAGACCTGATGAATTTGCAGTTGAAATACTATTAATGTTAGAGCCTTACAGCAGTTTAGTCGATCATGGAAGGTTGTCAATAATGAATAATACAAGATTTAGAAGAGAAGACAATCACATCATCCTGCATTCATCTATGCCGATGTGCATGATTGCATGAAAATGGTTGTTTTGTCATTCATTCATCAACCTGATAAAAATTTTTCATCATTCTATTAACAGATGATATAGGCATTAAGGGCTAAGGACTCCAGTGAATTAGTAACTATACCTCATATTCAAGACTGAGCCAAAAGAGAAGCAATATAATCCAAATTTCACCGCTAGTGGTGTCTTCCAAAGATCTAATCTTTTGAAACCCGAACAACTATGCCAGTTGGTGTATGCATAGTTTTGAGATGACCAGATCCAATCAAGTCACGAGGGTGAAATCTCATATCAAAAGGAGATAATATCCAAAGGGGCCAACATCATCTCCTTATATGTCCTGCAATTTAAAAAAGAGAGGAGTTCCTTTCTTCCCTGAATCCGAGCAAAATAAAAACACAGTAAGTACAACTCTGAATTATTCTAAAATTTAGATATCTTATCATAAAATTTAAAAGCATTCTATCTTTGCTACAAAAAAACAGCATCTAAATTATTCAAAGTTCTTGGGAAAATACGAACTGTTTGAAAAGTTTTGGAGGATATATGTATTTATACATGTAATTCATACCCAAGTCCACATGTTTTGATATTACATCCTTCCTAAGTTCAGGCTCCTTCTGACATTTTAATTCGATGGAAACCAAATATGTGAAACCAAAAGTTTTGACTAGTGGGAACCCAAAATAGCATAAAAGGATTCAATGGGATTCTGCCTTAAATTTATGTTCAACTCCTTTTTGTAATCAGCAAAATCTAACATTCCATGTTAGAGTATAGTTTCAATTATGAGTTCGTATATTTATATTCCCAAGCACCTAATTCACAATATGCTCACAATAATCAATAAATCAAGGATAGACATTCTCCCCTTTGCCAAAGAAAAAAAAAACACCCATATTGCCTCACTGTCATAGGTGCTAACAGACCCGGTGAGTGAAAACATTTAAACTCACAGTGAACTTCGAAGGGATGGAATATAACAAGCAAATATTAACATCCCACTAGTTAGAGCGGGAAAATTAACAAAAAAATAGTTTATATACCTTGGAGAGGCCTTTCATTATTGAACCAATATTTGGGATTGCAAAGCAGTACATACTTGGATCAATCAAATGGCGAGTCTGAAAGGAACATGTCATTGTTAGAACAGGAACAGACTTGAGGGGAAATCAAACATGTTTAACAGCAATTATACAATAAGAGGAAAAGGGGAATAAAAAAACTAAGGAAATGCAATTGCATAAGTACCAGCTTGGGGAAATTAAAAGAAAAGAAGTAATAAAGAACCAAATATGCATTTAACACCTACCAGTATAAAATAAGCAAAAAGCACTTCCATGTGCACAGATTTGCACGTTTTCACTTGTCTATTCTAACAAACCCATTCAGATGGCATTCATAATATAGGATGCAATTCTAGTTTGATCAAATTACTGAATATATACAAAATCGATTTATGATGTAGGGAAAGAAATAGTCACAAAATATACAATATCCAAGCAAAGAATTTCAATAAACTGAAACAATATGAAAAATTCATCAGCAGCAAAGTTCACTTACAAGAAGGCTAGCATTGATAAGAAGGGATATATGTTCACCTTTTACCCTTTCCCCTAGTGATAAGAGTTAAAACTGCAGCCAAGATAAGCAAAGCTATGAAACTATAGAGACAACATGCAAGCACATGCAAATGGTAACCCAAACAGATTATGGTAACAATATTCTGCAAAGAAAATTACTAAAAAAAGTAGAAAGAACATTAATCTGATGACAAGACGTTCATAAAACGTAAGACAATATCTTCTTAAGTAAGAAGAAAATTTCATGATATAAGATCTCTGAAGTCATCACATTTTACCCACATGTCACACACCCGTACACATATGAGTCTGCCACTATATAGACAACTTGATAATTAGTAAAACTCATAAATTGTTTTAAAGTTTTCACATCACAACTAGTTGTCAAGTATGTCATATACACCACATGTACACAGACAATGCAACTAAAATACTAAATACATCAGCACCCAAATACTAAAATACTAAATGATGATGATGAAAACAACAACACATGATAATCAACGTCAAAAGTAAATTTCGGAATGCTCCTACAATACAAGATTACTTATTGGCTATAGATCCAAAATGATTACTTAAGGAAATGCTTTGAGCCACTTGAAATACAACACAATAGCCAATTTATCTGTAAAGGACATCCACAGATTAAACACTCAAAAGCTTTTTGTCATGTCAAATCTCCAAGTAAAAAGTAGGTGTGCCAAGAGATTAAAATTAGGTGCTAAAGTAGCATCAGAACCTAAGCCCTTTTTAAAAAATATGAATGCCTCTACCCAATCAAAGAAAAGGATAAGTGGGTCTGCCTATTCTATCTACCAAAATTCAATACAGTTAGAGACCAAAGAGAAAAAAACAAAAGACGGAGATCCAAACTAAAGATTAAACAGACTTGTAGTGGCTAGAATCTATTAATTTTTTAAATAATTTTGACTATAAGAGCCAATGTTCCTCAAGGGGACTTTCAAGAAAATTCCTTATAAAGGGGAAAAATTAAGCTCACCACAATTGCAGGACATGCATGGTTAACAGAAAAAAAAAATTCATACAATGACTCAAAATTGTACTTGCAGAATGTAGTTGATGACAGAGGGTTCTGATAAACACAAAGTTAGTCTGTCTCAAAGCAGAGTACAATGTAAACGAACATCATAGTTCGTTGGTGTTTAGGTCACTCACAAGTTCTTGATGTTCAATGCTAGGTTCCAGCTTGGATTCAATACATGCACTGTAAACCATCTAAAACTTCAAGATCACCTTGTTTCCTTTCTTCCATGCAGTTGACAGCATGTTCTATGTGTACAAATAATATGGACAGAGAAAAACAGTCAAATGAAGCCTACATTATTAGCCTTGCAACAAAACAAGCATCCCTCACTAACAATACCAAGCACCATAAAGCCTAATACCTCAATCAGAGTCAGCCCAGATTATAAGTAACAGGCCCTCAGTTTGAACTAAGTGACATTAAAGTTGCAAACTAAACATGACAAGCTAATCATCCTTGATCAAACGAATTTAGAAACATCAATCAACCAACCTGTTTTTGATAATTATCTAAAAACATTATACCATGATCATCTTGTCCAGTATTTAGATTGAAAACAAGCACTGCTTTCTCCCTACTTAGAGAGTGCAGAAAGAGAACATATAATATAAACCAAATGGAACTAAGTGGAAAAACTATTCTATAGATAAATGCAGGAGAGGAAGTTGCAAGAAATATTACATATCAAAGAAACTCCTAACAAAAAAGAAGATTTACATGCTCACTTCAGAAGAACCAGGCGCTCACTATTCAGATTGTTAGAAATCTTTTCTTATCATGTTTCAGTCACGAACATGTCCCAAATATCTATTTTACCAGGAAGCACATGATGTAAGCCTTGAAATGTACATGTCTAACTAAAACCTGCAAAATGGACATGGATCTACTTTGAACTTGGGGAGTAGCCGAGTGGGTGACTCCTTCTCCTGGGAAACCATGAAGCCTTAGAGAAATAGATAAAGTGCAGAAAATCCAAATACAATATATATCTCATAGAATAAAGTCCAAAAACTTGGATCTACAATTAGAGGCTTCAGCGCAAAATGCGAGAGAATAACAGGCCACTCAACTAATGAAAACAAATATTCAATTAATAAAATACATTTTAGGCCAAACTTCAAATTGAATCATAGTTCAGGAACAATTTTGCATCCGAAATAATATTCCAAATTTGAAGGTTAAGGAACCAAACCTCTAGCTCTCTATCCACTTAAGTTCTGTTCTTTACTATGCTACACAATTGTGACTGTAAAATGAAATGTCGAATTGCAACCTTGAAACAGAACCAAATAAAATGAAAGAACTTTTTAAAAAAATGAAAAACAAATAAAATTACACATTGTAATTGAAAATAGCTATAATTATTTTTAGAAGAAAAGGTGAACCTTTAAGGAGAAGTATAGAGCTAACCTTATCAATTTGAGGAAACTGAGATCGCATTATACGAAGCGCCACCAAAGTGTCGCTAAAGCTAAGATTCCTTCTCTGTGAAATTAGAAGCTATCAAGATCAACATTAGCTGAAATAGGAAAGGAAAAATTATACTATTTTGTTTGAGGGGTGAATTTTTGAACCGAGGGAAAGAGAATGATCAGGATCGCATATTTTCGGCATCGATCTCTTCTTCTCCATCTTCTCTTCTGCATTTTTCCCCTTTCTGCATCTTTAATCGAAGCTTAAAAAAAACAAACCCCCGAAATCTAATTTGGAACCCTAATCCAGCGGAAATTCGAACGTTGGTGCCAGGGCCCACCTCTCTATTTTGGAGCTTTCGGTTTAGTGACGTGTATTTATATATTTGTAATATAATGTTGAAAAATAAATCACTTTTATATTTTAAAATCTTAAAGCAATTTTCTTCTCTGATTAAAATAAAACTTTTTAATATTTTCAACAAGTAATATATTTTGAAAGATTTTTTATAGATAGTTTTGACTGAAAAAAAAAAAAAAGAAGAAAAGATTTATTCAAAATCTGAAACAAAACCCCCGATAAAACCGCCTTCTAAACCTGAATTTGAAACTAATTAAACGACAACCCTCATTGTCGTTAAACTTCGTCTCTGTCTCTGTCTTTGTCCCCTTCTCTGCTAACGTTCTCAGTGGAAAAAAAAAAAGAAAAAGAAAAAGAACTACCCTTTTTTGCTTTTCCAAAAAGTTTGTTCAGTAGTTCAGTCCGCTCTCACGTGCCCTTTCCTGTTTTAGCACCCTTTTTTTCCTTTACAGGTAAGTAAAGGTCCTAAAGGATACATGGTACCAACATGCAAAATTTTCCAACTTTTTTTTAAATGTATATTTATAATTAATTCAGTTGTTAATTATCTCTTCTTCTTTTTTCGCTTTTTTGCGCATGTTGCCGAAAGCATTTCTTTTTTGTTTGATAATTTTTTATTATTTTAAGGTGTAAAAATATTGAAGCTTTGAAAGACTGTAGTGGGTGTATTGGATCTCTCGTTCTATCTCAAAGCTTTAATTTTTGGGATTTCGAATTGTAGATGACAATGCAACTGTCGGTGCTTTACTAGTTACTAGTACTGCTACATTTGATTCCTTTCTTTTTTGTATTTCCCTTTTTGCCCCCTAATTTGTTCTTCACTTGTGCTATAGTATTAATCACCAATTTCAATGCTTTGATTTGTTTATTTACTGAAACTGGGAATCTGGGTCTGTTTCTCTTTTTACACTGCAAGAATTTTCTTTTCTTCTTTTAAGGTAATATGAAGTCTTTTTGAATGTTGTTGCTTTGTTATTTATTTCACTGTCAATGTTTGTTTAATGTCTTCGATTGGATTCAATGCCTTATAAATGGTCTTATTTCATACATTCATTCATTGGAATCAGTGATTTTTAATTTATTTATAGCTGAGAAGCTTATGGGTTATGTTGGTTTGTGGTTCAATTGCTTTTGAAATTTTGTAATTTTTTTGTCAGGTGAATATGCAAGTTGGGAAGATTCAAAGATACTTCTAATTTGAGGTATTTTCTGAGTGAGATATTATTGATTTGGTTGTTTGGATGTTAAATCCATTGTTGATCTTTTGAATCCTATAATTTGGTTTGTAAAGATTCTGACTCTGCATGTTGAAGTAAAGTAGAAACGAGATTCTTTTTACTCTTTCTTCTTTGTTTGCCCTAAAAAGATATGACAAGGGGAAGAGCTGATGTGAATCCAAAAAAACGGTTAGTCACTTGGATGGTAGTCTTGGTTATCTGTTGTGGTTGCTTCTATGCATATACTCGAAGCCACGGTTCACCTGGACTTGAGTATGGAAGTAAATCTTTGAGGAAATTTGGTTCTTCCTATTGGCGTGGGGATGAAGAAACCGCTGACTCTTCTGCTAAGCTAGATGAAGTTGGAGATGATGGTGTTATACTAAAGAGTTTTCTAGTGAGTGAAATTTATATGAGCCAATTTCTGTACAATTTTGAACCTATATTTGTTTATGGATTACCTGATATATATATATATATATATATATATTTTGCTGTCAAAGGTTTGTGATGATCGACATTCCGAGCTAATTCCTTGCCTAGACAGGAATCTTATATAACAGACACGATTGAAGTTGGATTTGTCTGTGATGGAACACTATGAAAGACATTGCCCACAGCCTGAAAGATGCTACAATTATTTGATTCGTCCTCCACCTGGATACAAGATGAAGTCTTGCTCTAGTTTCCTACATTAAATGGAATTAGGAAAAGTTCCATATGTTTCTTACCATGCAGATTAAGGCATCATAAAGTTTTTGGTTCTTGATGGTTTCAGATCCCTATCAAGTGGCCCAACAGCAGGGATGAGGTATGGAAAGCAAATATACCACATACCCAACTTGCAACAGGAAAATCCGACCAGAATTGGATGGTTGTCAAAGGTGACAAGATTGTATTTCCTGGAGGAACTCACTTCCATTGTGGGGCAGACAGGCATATTGCTTCAATGGCAAATGTAAGCAATTTGTCCTGTTCAGGAAGGAAAAAGGAAAAAAAAAGATCATTTGACTATATGAAACTTTCACTCTGATGAATACAGCAATAATCATATTCATGTTTTCAACTGGCAGATGCTAAACTTTCCAAACAAATTTTAAACAATGAGGGAAATCTCAGAACAGTTTTTAATGTGGGTTGTGGAGTTGCTAGTTTTGGAGGATACCTGCTTTCGTCTGATATCATTGTGATGTCTTTAGCAGCAAATGATGTTCATCAAAACCAGATCCAGTTTGCTCTGGAGAGAGGAATTCCTGCATATCTTGGTGTCTTGGGGACAAAGAGGCTTCCTTACCCAAGTAGATCTTTTGAACTTGCGCATTGTTCTCGTTTTAGGATTGATTGGCTTCAAAGGAAAGGAATCCTTCTTTTGGAGCTAGACAGGGTACTCAGGCCAGGAGGTTATTTTGCCTATTCATCTCCTGAAGCATATGCCCAGGATGAAGAAGATCTGAGAATTTGGAGAGCAATGAGTGCCCTTGTGGAGCGAATGTGTTGGAAGATAGCTGCTAAAAGGAATCAAACTGTTATTTGGGTCAAACCCCTGACAAATGACTGTTCCATGCAACGAGAGCCTGGTACTTATCCTCCCATGTGCAAATCTGATGATGATCCAGATGCTGTGTGGGGTGTTCCAATGGAAGCTTGTATCACTCCTTACTCCAGTCGTGAGTACCTCTGCCCTTTGTTTCATATATGTCTCATCTGATGTCTGTTTTGTCTATCCAAGAGCTATTGCTACATAAATGTTGTAGACAATTTTGAAGTTCCAGTGAATTTAGACTAAAGTAAGTACTTATGATCACTTATCATCTGCAAGCTAGAATTAAACATGGACTACGGCTAAATATAAGTGCCGAAGAGAATAGAAAAGTAAAACTTACAAGGACTTTAGACTAGCTTTGAAGCCATTATTTTAGAAAGAAAAGCATACTTTAGAGTATAGTCACTCTTGTAGTCCTTTCCAATGAGATTCTCTAATTACCTAGTGCAATCTTCTGGTATCTTAATGTTATTTATGCATATGTAAGTTCTATAAACTATATGCAGAAAGGCAGAATTAAGCACACATTAATGATTGATTTTCTATTTACTCTTTTGCAAGTTATGACAATTAGAGACTTAAACCTCTATTATCACTATTAAATAAATTGGAGAATTCTCTTTTAGCTGTCCAATATAAAATGTTTATTTCACAAAAGAAACATCGCTCTGCTCATAACTTGCTTTCGTATTGCATTATAAGCAGTTTCCATGCTGGAAGAGATTAATATTGGAAGTGGACATGCTCTTTCGATCCAATCAGAAATTCGGAGAGCAAGAGGGAGTGGGTTGGCTCCTTGGCCTGCTCGTTTGACTACACATCCCCGTCTTGCTGATTTGGGCTACTTTGATGAAATGTTTGTAAAGGACATGGTAATCTGTCACAAGATTTCTACATGTTTATATGTGCATGATATGTGCATTTATAAGCAAATGCATGCATGAAGAAACTGGCTTATGGCCGGGTATGTGTTGCAGGAGGTTTGGCAGCGAAGAGTTGAAAACTATTGGAATCTTTTGGGTCAACATATTGAGTCTGATACAGTGAGAAACTTAATGGACATGAAGGGAAACTTGGGTTCATTTGCTGCTGCTCTGAATAACAAAAATGTTCGGGTTATGAATGTGGTGCCCGAAGATGGACCTAAAACTCTCAAAATAATATATGAAAGTGGCCTAATAGGAACTGTGCATAACTGGTATGTTAAGAATTTTAATTAGACAATTAATTTGATTTTGTTAGTTTAATATGTAACTGCTTTCTCTTAGTAGTCCTGCTTCGAGAGAGAAGGAAAGGAGATGGATAGGATTTCAGCAAGGTCAATACTTGCTTAGTTTTATCAGGGGTCATATAGAACATTAGGCCAGGGTCTAGACTCCATTCGTTCCAAGAAACCAAATTGTTATAGTTCCTAGATTGAAAAAGTTATTAACAGCTAATAGGATATTGAGTAACCGACTGTTGCAATCATCAGAAATGTTCTAAGCCCTTTACTTATTCTTTACCAAAGTGCATGCAGTTTATCCCATGAACAAATGAAGGAGCTGGCAAGGAATAACCTGTCTTAAAGAGATGCGCCTCACTCCCCCCCCCCCCCCCCCCCCTTTTTTTTTCTTTTTTCATATATTTCATTTTGATCTGCCTTGAAGTGTCCTATTTGTTGCTAAAATTCCTATGTCCGGCAACTGACACGTGTGAAGCTTCTCAACTTGTCCAAGAATTTATGATCTCCTTCATGCTTGGACTGTCTTCTCGGATATTGAAAGGAAAGACTGTAGCATTGTGGATTTATTAATAGAAATGGACCGTATCTTGAGGCGTAAAGGTTTCATCATTGTTCATGATAAGCGATCAATAGTGGAGTTGATAAAGAAATATTTTGGAGCATTACCCCGGGAATCAGTGGCAACAGCCGAATCTCAGCTGGACTCTGAGCAAGATGAGGATGATGTAGTGTTCATAATTCAAAAGAAAATGTGGCTTACAAGTGAAGGCCTTAAGGAATCGGAATAAGACTTCCAAGTTTCAATTCAGGTGAAGCCTTCATTTCATTTCATATATATTAAGTCATATATCATTGAAGGCTTGCCAGATACAATGCCAAGCAGATTTCTACAATTTTTTTTTTCTTTAGCCTTTTCTGTTCTTTCATTTATCTTCAATCTTCACTGTAGAGCATATCCAGAATTTTGACTCTATATTCTTTTATTTTATTTTCTTTATTTTTTTAGCAATTTATTTTCGTTAAATCCTTAGACTGTAAGATAATTATTCTTTCATCAATTAATTTCTTTGATTAAAATGCATGATTAGGCTTCTCTCAAGAGCTCCATTTTTCAATAGCCTCGGTGCTTCTATGATAGTCAGAAAAAGCGATCTTCTCTCTATGTACATATCTTCAAAATGATTTAGTACTTCAATTTATTGTCGGAAATTTGAAAAAAAATTTGAAAGATAAAGAAGGAACATAAAAGTATAAGCTAGAACTATTTATGTTCATTAAAACATTTGGTCCTTACTGGCAAAATCAAAAAGGTCTTTAATTTCACTTCTTTTTGGAGTTTTCACCTTTTTTAAATATGAACAAAACAGAACACGCTAATTTTGTTTAACATATAATTTTACTCATGAACTTTTAATGATTATATTTGAATTGTTTTTAGATAAAGTATTTTGCATCATTGAACATCCGAAATTTTATTTTGGTAAAATATTTTGCATCATTAATTGACATTATTAATCAAAATGTTAACATACCAACTAATATAAATGTACGCCATGATATTATTAATTATTTTTTATTAACAAAATTAATGTGAGAAAATACTTAATAAAAACAAATTTTGAATATCTATCATAAATTTTTTCTGTAGATATATTAAATAATTCAAAAACTAAATCACACATTAACCCTTTTAAATTAGAAAGATTTTTTAATCATAAGCCACTTCCTATAGGTGTCAGTCATGCGGTAAACGTTTTAACTCGTAACATTTTTTTGACGTGACACTAATTACTAATTTTGTCAAAATAAGCCTACAAAATTGAGTTAACATGTCTGAGACAAGCTGTTGTCCAAAGAGAAAACTCTTTTTCTTGCATCACTCTTGTAAAAGGAATTCTTCGTTCATATGATCTCAGGCAGATTTCAACTTGGCTGATGTTGCAGCCAGATGGGAAAGGATTCTATGTCCAACGAACACGAGGAAAACTCCCAAGAGGCCAACTAGTTTCAGTGTTTGAAATAGATCCAACTGCACACACAAGATAAATAGAAAGTCAATGATAGAATCAATATATATAAAAGAAAAAAAGTGGTAATTGACTTTGCTCAGGAGTGCAGTTTAAGTGTATAACAATAATAATAATAATAATAATAATAATAGCAATACTAACCTTCAACCAGAAAAGCACGTAGAGCAACAGAACTGCCCCAATGCCACCATGGAAGAGAATGGCAAATGTGGCAGGTACGGCTTTGGTAGGAAAGTTCTTCAGATTCACCCCTAATCGCAACAGCTGTCAAAGCAAACAAAATTCACCCGGTAAGGATTAAAAAAAAAGTTCGAAAATAGCTTAAGCAAATACTGCTAATACTAACATATGCATGCATGCAAGACCTAGCCAGAAACAGTTGAAAATTATGCCTTCAAAAGTGCAATCCCCAATACCTTAACAAGCAAGACTGCTAGATTCTCCGACTGAGATCACTTAACAAGCTCCAAGAATACTATTGAAACGAAAAGCCTTTCCTTTCCCAGGCCAGAGACCAAAGAGCTTAATAGCCCCCAAAACCTCATGTCAAAGACTCTTCTTTTTTACAGCCTAATAAATCCTTGTTTCTAAGCCATGAACCACCCAGAGGACAGAGATATGCAACATGCCACAGACACACAGAAACACGAGTTTTGAGAATAGGGTCCAGAAGAAATGTTGATTCAAGCCACTGAATTAAATATCAAACAAATTTAGGGTAACACCAGTCTTGAATTTTTAACCAGAACCCATGCCGATATCAAACAATTTTATCAAGCATAAAAGGTTAAAAAAATAAATTAATTAAAAATTCAGATATCAGTAACTTCCTGGTTAAATGAAAATAAAAAAAGAAACAGCACATACAAGACTCACCCCAATCAAGAATCCAAGTAATGGCAAGATGGTAAGACCCAGGAAAGCAAGAGAAAGCTCCTTTGGTGGAAGCTTTTCGGGAGCCCTAAAGATGTGTGTTATTTCTGCTTTGGGCCCATATCTTGAGTAAGGATCGACGGGCTGTGGAGGAGGGCGGGGTGCCTTCTCAGGTGGTTCTGGTAGATCTACCTCAATATGTCCAATAGAGCGTAATAAAGAGTTCTCCTGAAGAAAGCAAAATATATATATATATATATATATTATTCCAACATATTTGTGGACTCATACAAATTGAGAATTTTAAAGAGCAAAAGCAACACTTACCATAACAGCATCACCAACAGTGAGCTCAATGTCATATCTACCTGAGAGGTAGAAGAACTTCTCAACCAGACCAAGAAAATTCTACAAGACAAGCCATAAAGGATTAATATAAAAAAACAAAATTCAATAAAGAATATAAAACTGAATATTCATCTGAATAGTAATTTCAAATCTTAAAATAGGTGCATTATAAGCTGAGCCAGCTTGAAGAAAACTTATTTGGGAACAGCTCCTAATAATAATATAAAGCCATAGATGTCTTCTTGTTTCCAAATGAAAAGAGTCATTATCATGTGCCATAAGAAATAAGAGAAATCTCAAATGATACTAGGTACTAATAACATTTTAACTGTCATAAACCCCAGAATAATACTTAACCTATGAAAAAAAAGATACTTAACTAGAATTATCTCAAACTGTTTTCCAGAGTTTCCAACCACAAAGACGTGCTCAACCTTGCTTTCATGTCTCAACTTGAGCAAAGCCTGCAAGCCACCATACTCAGCATCAAACTGATGCAAAGAATATCATTCATTTAAAATGAAGACAAGCAGAAGGTTGAACCTGATGTGGCTTAAAAGCACGTCCATGAGGAGTTGTCAACTGAAAGGATAGACGCAACTTCTGAAGGTGATTTGCTGCTAATGATACAGTATTTTGTCCAGCTAAATCTAGCCTATATTTATAGGATGTAAGAGTAAGACCATGAACAAAAAAAAAAAATGGCCTGGGTTCAGTTGAAAAAAAAAATCAAACACACTAGGCACTAACTTTTAAAAATGTCATCAGATGATTATTATACAGATACCAAAGACAGTCATCAATTATATCAATTATAGGTATGATAAAAACCAACAAAATACAAGCAAAAGAAATATATAACATACTTTTTCTGTGTTTCTATGCTCCCAAGATCACTGTCAAGAACTGTAATTTCTGCATTTTCAATTTTGATAAGTCCTGTCACAAATATCGGTACTTTTGTTTGGCTTCCAGTAACATAAATCTTTTCATGATCAGGTTCATGAAACACAATCTACAAAAATTCAAATTTCGTATGTAATGGAAAGCCAGATGAACATAAAACTCCAATCTATGAATAGGTTACAACAACAATACCTCAAAAACAAATGTATAACTTCCAACATCAATACTTTTTGGCAAGTTGTTCAAGATATGTACCGCAGTTCCAGTGTCAAACTTAAGTTCCTGCATTTCATAATATTTATAAACATTGAATCAAATTAAACAAAATAAAAAATGCAAAAGTAAAACTTGTATGCAGCAGAAATTACATCCAACAAAATGAATACTACTTGAGGGAACAACAGACCTGGCTTTCAACTGGAGATGCATCCTTTGAACTAGAACTAAAAGCTTCCACAAGCTTCACTGTTAGAGGTGGTGCATTTGAACCAAGCACAGTGTTAACTCTAACCTGTTATATTCAAAAAGAAGAAGTAAAAGTCGGTATAATAAAACCCTATCAACCAGATTAAATGATTTCAAATCTGGTATAAACCAAAGAGGCTTAAGAATGTGAATGCAAATGAATAAAGGGTTGAAAAGCAAGTCAACGCACCACCAATATACATCATGAATTCGATTCAGGTGAATGAGACATGAAAAAAGATCCTTTTAGATAAAAATACCAGTCAGCATACACTAAGTCAAATGGCATAAGCATCTTCATGAAGATCTAAAACTTCTGTGTACTTACGAAGCAAAATAGAAATGCCACTAACACTAATACCATTAATACTTGGGTGGTAGGTTTCTGCCACCTAGGGGAATTTAAGTCACTACTTGTTCATGTCAAGGATTTAACTTCAGACAAACCTGGAGTGAGTCTTTTTTAGTCAATGAAAGCACCGTAGAAGGAAGTGATAGGATTAGTGGGATAGAAACCCTGCATGACAAGTGAAATTTAAGATCTATTAACTCCAGAGCTTCATTATACAAAACCAAAGAAAGAAGGTAACATAGAACACTAAAATATTAGTCGTCTCCTGGAGTCTCAAAAGATAAAAAGCAAGTTGAAAAACATGTTTACAAACACTTAGCTCAATTCCCAATTCACCAAATAAAGCTAAAACTTCTGCAAACTAGAGGTATAGAGCTACACAAACAAGAATGTTCATAATTTCTTGCTTTCTTTCAAGGATCAACTAGAAACTGTATTGTTCAAGAGTGATAAAAACTCAAGAAAGGTTAACATATTGCAGTTGTAAGAAGCAATTGAAATAGTTCCATAGCATGGTAGCAGAAAGAAAACTAATATCATCCTGAAATTATATTAAATAAATAAAAATACATTAAAACTGCCAAAACAAAAACCTTGCCTGTTGCTTTCCAAACAAGCTAAGGAGTCTATTTGATTGAACAAATCTTTGGCGTCTCCAGGAACTCCAATACCAAGGAAGAATTTAGCCAATCCGAGCATTTTGTCCCGTGGAAGCTGCAGAAATAAACCGGAAGCATTTGAATACATTCAAAAGAAAAAAAAAAAAACATAAGTGGGCTAAAAATGCAGTATGAGCAAGCTCTTCCTACGGACATTGAGACTTCCGGCAGTCACTGCTGCAAATGCTGTTAGCCCTCTAACAACAGATGAGGTGGTTGATAAAGAACCT